TCTTATTTAGTTGAAGTAAAAGAATCAGAGTAGTGTTCAAACTTGGAAACTTTCCGTCTTTGTCTGCAAATTTTATCAAACTTGGAAAGAAAAAATGTAAACAGATTTAAAAAACCGAAAATGATATGTGCATGCAAAACAGGAACAAAAATCCATCCAGACATGCTTACCCTTTGCTTGCAATGAAAGCTTTCTCCTGGAGTTTGGTGTTTCAGTTCAGAGACGAAGACAAAGAGGAGAGGAAGACGAAAAGTTTTCTCTCGGAGATAAGCTTGAAAGTTTGAAACAGCGCTTTGAGAATGAATAATGAGAGAAGCTTGAAAGTTTTTCTCGGAATTGGAAACAATGCAAGTATGGGTCAGGTAGGCGAAACGTTTAAAATAATAGCAAACCGTTTCATAAAACGACGCTATTAATAGGAAGCGCCCTAGTATGAAACATTATACGGCGCTATAGGTTAACACCGGCCTATAATATGACTTTACACGACGCAAGGTTTTAATGAACCGCCGTTTTTATATCGAATTACACGATGCATTTTTCTTCAAAAAGATGAATCACGTCATTTCCAATTTACCCAATGACCTTATACTCAATAATAACGACGTGAAAAATACATACCACGTCGTTTTAATTACTCATACCGATGTGTAAAGTTTTTAATTACACAATAAATTATTTTTCCAAAAAATGACAACGTCGTTTTTATATAGCGTCGTTGTTAATTTATTTATACGACCTTATTTTAGGTTTAAACGACGTTTATGTTTTCAGATAACGTCGATAATTTAAAATAACCGATGTGGTATATAAGATTTGTTTATAAATAAGGGTTTTTCTGTCTTTCTTTCGTCTTTATTTTTCAATTAGGGTTTCAACTTTTTCTTGCCCTTGGCTCTGTCTCACTTCTCTGGAGGCACATCACCTCTTTATCTCACCTCACTTTAATTTTTCAGTTTGGATGTTGATGTGTGTGCGCGTTTGTGTATCTGAAAGACACAAACACGCACACATCATCCTAAAAATTGTCTTTCTGCACCCAGAGGTCCTTCACTGACTTGTCATTCTTGTCTCAAACAGAAGGAGAACAAGGTCCTTCACTGACTTGTCATTCTTGTCTGCATCAGCCCTCTTTCTCAGCTCCTCCATGATGTGGTTCTCTGGGTTGATCTCCATGGTCTTCTTGCTCGACATGTACCCAGCCGCCCTGTTATCCCTCAAGGCCTGAGCCTTCATGATTCTTTCCATGTTGGCAGTCCAGCCATACTTGCTTGTCACCAAATAGCAGGGAGAGTCTACCACATGGTCAGACACCACAACCTTCTCCACTCTGTCACCCAAAACATCCTTCACAACCTTGCAGAGTCCCTCAAACTTCTCCTTCAACTCTTCCTTCTTCTTTGCCTCGTCTTCACTCTCATCAAGCTTGAGACCTTCCTTGGTGGCTGAGACAAGATTGTTGCCCTCAAACTCCTTGTGAGAGTAATTGCCTCGTCTTTACTCTCATCCACTTACAAAACATTGCCTTTGTTCATTCTGGTTCAATTATGATGAGGAACAATGGTAAAAAACAAATAATGGTTTGATTATGATGAGGAACAGAGTTCATTCTGGTAATGATAGACGAATACTGGTAAAAAATTTGTATGTCGTTAATTTAACAAACCGTCGTGGTTAGTACAATTATGCGGACAGTAGAGTTATGGATACCGTCATAGTATAGTATAATTAAAAAGTCGATAAATTTATATTTACAGTCGTGGTAACTTAATTTAAATCGGCGAATTTTTTTGTAATTAACCGTCATAGATTTCTTTGAGTTTATGCGTCGCTGACTAAGAAAATTGGGTCGTGTTTATTAATTAGTTAACACGGCGTCTTATTTTTATATCGTCGTCTTTAGTTTCTACGGCGGTGATTTCATAGATGCAGTCGTTGTTTTTAGGTTCAGATTTTAACTCTGAAAAATACCTTTGTAATAAGACGACGCTTTTTTAATTTTGTGCGTCGTGGTTTAAAAATATCTATACGTGTACCGGTTTTTTAGGTGTTTAAAGTATGTTTCTACGACGGGTTTCTATTACTGTCGTCTTTTAAAAAACAACGACGGTTTTTTGATCTACCGTCGTTGTTTACTGGTCGTCTTTTGCCCTTTTTGTAGTAGTGTATAAACAACGGTTTCTAGAACATACTGACGGAAGAAGGGTTATAGACGACAGTAAATACATAACCGTCGTTGTATAAATGTTCTAACGTCGCTACACTATAGAAAGGTCGTCTAATTAAAATGCAGTGAATGCTTTAATGAAATAGACGACGGTTTATAAAAGAATGAGACGACGGCAAAAAAGACTGTCGTTATTTTCAAGGCATAATAAAATGCAAAACAAGTAAAAGCGTCGTGGTATTTCACTAACAACGACGATTCTTGGAAGCAACAGACGTATTATGGTTTTCAGACATCGGTAAATATATATTGTCGTTGGTTTGAAATTGTATCGTCGGATATTTAAAAGAGCGACGTCTATTTAAAATTTAAAAAGCATAAAAAGAAAATATCAGAGATTTTACCGTTTCGTCTTCCTGTTTTTCAACACAATCAACATCAAGCTTTGGCTCTTCTTTCCCCAAAACTAGGGGTCTGATATTAGTGGCTCCCGAGCAGCTGGCCTTGTTAAACATTGGGTTTTTTGGGCTTTATTCTTGAGGCTGTACAGGAATTGGGGTAATTGGGCTTTTGAGCATGTGGAGATCAAAATTAGGAACTAGTTGACGGAATAGTGCCAATAGAATTTCCCTCTCTGCTCTGACTGCTTCCAAAACATTTTCCCTTGACCTACCCTCCATCCTCAATGTCTCTTCTCTGACGGCCTCCATAAGACTTTCCTTCAATTTGTCAGCAAATTTTACTCTCTGCTGTCTCGGCAAATTGAAGAATTGAGTTGGGGAAACACCAGCTCCAATTGAGTTGGGGTTCCCAAAGCCAGAGTCAAAATATCATTGCTCTCGGAGACAGTCAGAGTGCCCTCGGAGACTTGTTTTTGCAAATCGTCCTAAGAGAGAGAGAGAGAGAGAGAGAGAGAGAGAGAGAGAGAGAGAGA